AGCTAATAAGGGGGGAGGGGTTGTGGTAATTAATAAAGAAGATTGTTACACAGAGTTGAAAAGATTAGTTGGTGATGTTAGTACATCACCAACTAATCTATTCAACTAGTACACCAACTAACCCCTTAGGTTTTAAGGGGTCACCCTACAAGAAAGTATAAAGCCCTATTATCAAAACATGTTAAAGAAGGAGAAGAGGAAGGAATATTAAATAAAAAAGAAGGTAAATATCTGGTACCCAAAGCCCCAAGAGTACCTGTTATTTACCAATTGCCAAAAATCCACAAGAATTTAGAGAAACCCCCTGGAAGACCCATCATTAGTGTGATTAATTCCTTATTTTCTAGACTGGGCAAATATGTAGACAAGTTTTTGCAGTCCTTGCTCCCTATTTTTCCCTCATATTTGAGGGATAGTGGTGATTTGATTAGTTTACTAAGGGGTATTAGAGAAGAAGGTGATTGTATCATGGAAAGTGTTGATGTGAACTCCCTCTATACGAATATCAGACATGAGGATGTGTTAGGGGCAGTTAAGTGGGCATTGGATGGGGTATCAGGATTAAGATCTCAACAAATAGAATATATATTAAAAAGCCTAGATCTGGCAATGTCACATAACTATTTTTGGCACTCCAGTAAGTTTTATAGACAAGCAGTGGCTGTGGCCATGGGGGCCAAATATGCGCCGTCAGTGGCAAACCTGTTTATAAGTAGGTGGGAGAGTGAAGCCATTTTTGAGCATAGAAACCCTGAACTATTAGTCTATAGAAGATTCATAGATGATGTTATTATAGTATGAAAGGGCAGAAAAGAGGGATTGGAGGAATATATACGAGAAATGGGGAAGAAACATTTTAATATATCATTTACTAATAACATCAGTAAAGAAGCAATAGATATTTTGGATCTGACATTATACAAAAAAGGTGACAAATTTTGTACCAAAACACACTTCAAAGAAGTGGACAGGAATGGTTACATTCCAAGTCATAGCTGTCACCATAGAAACTGGCTAAAATCTATTCCTAAAAGCCAGCTTATCAGACTGAAACGTAATTGTGATGATGAAAATATATTCCTAGGCCAATTGGACATGCTCTTACAAAGATCTAGAGAAAAAGGCTATGGAGAGGAAGTTCTAGTTCGCTCATTAGAACAGGTTAAGGAGATAAAGAGAGATGACTTGCTGAAGAAAAAGGAGAGGAATAGAAAGATAGGAGATCTGGCTTTTATCACAGGTTATTCGAGCCATTATAAATTGGTTGAGCGAATTATCAAGAAATACTCCAAAATGGGATGAAGCGCTCAGAATATAAAATTGCAATAAATCAATCTATAATAAATAAATAAATACCCCTTAGAAACCATATAATACAAATATATAAATAAATAATAAAATAAATCCTGTGAATTCATCAATATCACACACAATACCCTATAAAACAATATATAATAAATAAATATATAATAGGCCAAACTGATACCGTGACATGAAACAATATTCCAAAGTGACTAGTGCTATAATATAATGACCAAAAAAATCTTGAATTTCATGGAGTGCAAACTCCTGATCTGCAACCTAGTGGCTAACCAGACTGAAGTGAAACTAATGAGTGATATCACTTTGTGTAATTCAAAGTGACAGGTGCTCAAAAAATATATAACTAAATAAAACAAAAACAGTCCACAATAATTATTCAAAGTGACAGGTGCTCAGAACATATGCAAATAAATAAATAAATAAATGTATCAAAAGCAATCCACAATAATGTGATAATCAAACTGTGCAATAATGAATGGTGCTCAATTCAACACACAGTGCTTCAAGACTTCATTCCATGCTGAATACGTGCTCCTGGTGACACTCTGACGTGACTCCCCTGAAATAGCTAAAGTGCCTCCTCACCTCCTATATTCGACCCCTAAGGGCCACAGATCTTTAAAATAATATTCCTGGGAGGGACCTCAACCTGGCTTTAATATCTCCACTGGCTTCACCTACTCCACTAGGGTCCTCTCAGGGGCTAATAATCCTCTCAGACCACTCTCCTCGCAATATGGACTCAGGCTTACAGGCCATGTGTAATCAAGCAAAAAAAAACAGACCTCCATAGTACAAGACCGTTTAATCAAGTATTTAAAAAATGCCAAAGATGGACACTCACGTGCTTTCCAGTACACAACAGCGGTTTCCCATGTGCTATGGGTGTACTAGGGGATAGGGTGTATCAAGATGGCATCAAACAGGAACCGGAAATACGTCACCGCTCAATAATGGAAATGCATCTACGCGTTACACCCACTGACACGTGACTTCTTCAGGAGGTCGGCACTTTAGCTATTTCAGGGGTGTCACGTCAGAGTGTCACCAGGAGCACCTATTCAGCATGGAATGAAGTATTGAAGCACTGTGTGTTGAATTGACCACCATTCATTATTGCACAGTTTGATTATCACATTATTGTGGACTGCTTTTGATACATTTATTTATTTATCTATTTATTTACATATGTTTTTAGCACCTGTCACTTTGAATTACAGAGTGATATCACGGATTGTTTTGAGGATTGTTTTGAGGATTCCTTCTGAGGACTCTCTGTATTTAAATATGCATGCAGCACTAGCGAGATTGCCAATATCACGTTAAGAAAATTTACCAGGACTCAGTTTATTGTTTTGCACCAATTGTTTTGGATGTATATTGTTAGCGGAGCATGACACAAAGTGTTTTTTTAATTTTTTATAGACACATTGGTATGAGTGTGTATGTAGTGTAGATGACCCACTTACTCAATTTGTATCTTTATCAATTTTTATATTAATTTATCTATTTAATTATTTTAGTCACTGAATTATTTATATTTAATATATTATATTCACTTAATTAAAAGTATCAGTAAATACAAATACAAATATAGTACCTCACAAGAATCACATTTTTAAAGGTTATACCAGGATGAAGCCTACAGCTGCAGGCATCATCCTGGTACCATTTTTTTTCAGTCAGCGGTCGGCTTTCATGTAAAAGCAATCATAGTGGCTAATTAGCTGCAGGATTGCTTTTACAAGCAGCGGGATATGATGTCCCCCCCTCCCCGGCTGCCTTCCATGACCTTCTCTGACAGTCCCATGACATCAGGGGGAACCTGAGGTGTTTCTGCCAGCTGACCATAAGGATGATTGGAGACCAGAGTGGTGCCGATCATCTCTATAGTCTAAGAAATCGGAAGCTACGAGCATTTCATCACTTCAGTTTCACAGGATATAAACAGCGCCATTTGTAAATTGGGAAAGCATCTGATCACACCGATCTTGGTTTGATTAAATAATGTAAGGGCAGAGGAGATATCTAGAGTCTGATAGACCCCAGATTTCTGAAAAAAGAATATATGACAATGCCCATTGAAGTTATAGGGGATATTTGCATTCCCTGTGATAGCATTAAAAGTGATTAAAAAAAAAATGATAGGGACAGTGTAAAAATAATAAAAAAAAAAACCAAAATAACATAAAAAAAAGCACCCTCTCACCCCCTCGCGCATACGCACATGCGTACGCAAACGTAGACCTTGTGTGGGTATGTAAACAGCAGTTGCACCATACATGTGAGGTATCACCGTGAATGTCAGATCAAAGGCAGTAATTCTAACACTAGACCTCCTCTGTAAATCTAAAATGGTAGCTTGTAAAGGCTTTTAAAGCTTTGCCTATGGATGTTAAAAATGTATGCCGTTTGTTGCCATTGCACGGGGCATGCGCATGTCAGGAATGGACTTGCCAGTAATGGTGGGACTCACCTGCCTTGTGGGCTGCAGTACCAGGGCTGGCCAGCGGGTGCTCTCAGCAATCAGAGACTCAACCCTGCAGTCAGCCAAACACCTGAAGCTGATTACGGAGGTGTATTTAAGGGATGGCCAGACCTGCAGTCTGTGCCTTGGTGTGTGTTTTTCCATGGGCCCCTGTATCTTGTTACCTGCATTCCTGTTCCTGTTCCTGCCTGACTGACTTGTTGCCGACCCTGCTTGATCCGGACCTCTGCTGACTTCTCCTGTTTGATCCCTGGCTTGTGACCCCGACCATTCTCTGCCTGACCCCTGTACCTACCTGCCCGTTAGTTGCTGTACCCGGCTTGTGACCTGACTACTCTCTGCCTGCTCCTCCTGTTCCTACCTGCCCGATTGTTATTGACCCGGCCTGCCTGACGATGCTTGCATTGTATGTATTGTTATCTGTGGGTGGTTTGGTTTGGTTCGTTTTCACTTTGTTTATGTTTTAGTATTGCACTGCGTTTTGTATTGTTAGTATTAAATTATATTGTTTATAACATATCTGAAGCCTGCGTTTCCCTGCGTCAGTTCACATACCTCTGGTCATACCCGGAGCCCTGACATTACACCAAGGCCAATCCTGACCAGAAGTGGCTGCACAGGGAAGCCATCTTGGCTTGTTGCTGGGAAGGATGGATCTTGATGAGGTTGTGTATTTATCTCTGCTGGTTTTTGATGACAGAGAATATGCTTATCAGACTCTGAGGGAGTATACCCCGGGATCAACTGCTAGAATGTATACGGATCGCTCATGTTCTTGTAGATCAGGGCACAGAGTTCTCTGAGGTGCAACCTTTGATTCAGGTTTGTGTAGAGTTGGCTTCATCTGGTACCCCTGAAAGCAGGAATGACTTTTTGCCACCATTTAGTGCAGACCAGGTAGAGTCCCTGGTATGGTTATTAGAGGATGATGTGGATTGCTTCTTGGAGCATTATGCTGCATGTTCACCACAGGTATTAAGGGATTGTATAACCGCAGTGCAGTCTTTGACCAGACAGGCTTTGTGTAAGCTCAGCTTTGTTCAACCCGTACTGCAGACATGGTCAGACTTGTTGCACCCAGCCTCAGTCAGCTTGCAACGTCATTCCTCTGCTCAAAGCACTCTTCCTACATCCCCGACAGCACCCCCAGTGACGGCCCAGTATACTCTGCTAACTACCACATATCAGTCCTCTGCTCCCACTCGCTGCACCTATCCTTTCTTTAACCCTGTAAAGAAGTCCTCTGTAGCAACTGCTCCCTCCTCTGTTCCATCTTCCAGCTCTTCTCTGTCCTCAGCTGCTCCTTTCGTTTGCAGACCTGCGTTTACTTGCAGTGCTCCAGTAGTTAAAACCAGAAAAAAGCGAAAATTCTTTCCAACCAGTACCATCCTGCCAGTATCCAAACCGGTGAGCCTGCAGTCTGAGAACCTGCCTTCCATGGTTCAGCCTGGTGCCTCGGCACCTGCACTTCAGCCTGATGTCTCTACCCAGCCTGATGAACTGATCCAGCCTGATGATCCTATCACGCCTGATGGCCCAGTGCCCGCTGTCATACCTGGTGACCCGATGCCCGCTGTCGAGCCAGACGATCCAATGCCTGATGACCCAGTGCCCGCTGTCATGCCTGGTGACCCGATGCCCGCTGTCGAGCCAGACGATCCAATGCCTGATGACCCGGTGCCCGCTGTCGATCCAGACGATCCGGTACCTGATGACCCAGTGCTCACTGTCATGCCTGGTGACCCGATGCCCACTGTCAAGCCAGACGATCCAACGCCAGATGACCCGGTGCCCGCTGTCAATCCAGACGATCCGGTACCTGATGACCCGGTGCCCGCTGTCATGCCTGGTGACCCGATGCCCGCTGTCGAGCCAGACGATCCAGCGCCAGATGACCCGGTGCCTGCTGTCGAGCCAGACGATCCGGTACCTGATGACCGGTGCCCGCTGTCGTGCCAATTGACTCAGAGCCCACTGTCGTGCCTGGTGACTCGGTGCCCACTGCCTTGCCAGATGACGTGGTGCCCGCTGTCGAGACAAATGACCTGATGCCTGGTGACCCGATGCCCGCTGTCGAGCCAGACGATCCAATGTCTGACCCAGTGCCCGCAGTCATGCCAGTTGACTCGGAACCCACTGTTGTGCCTGGTGACTCAGTGCCCACTGCCTTGCCAGATGACGCGGTGCCCGCTGGTGAGCCAAATGACCTGATGCCTGGTGACCCGATGCCCGCTGTCGTGCCTGATGACCCGGCGCCCGCCGCTCCGCCTGGGGGCCCGATGCCTGTCGCTCCGCCCGGGGGGTCCGGTGCCTGCCGCCCCTCCTGGGGGCCCGGTGCCCGCCGCTCCGCCTGGAGGCCCGATGCTCCGCCTGTGGGCCCGGCGCCCGCCACTCCGCCTGGGAGCCCGGCGCCCGCCGCTCCGCCTGGGGGCCCTGTGCCTGCCGCTCCTCCTGGGGGCCCGGTGCCTGCCGCTCCACCTGGTGATCCGGTGTCCAGCCCGATGTGCCTCTGTCCGGTGTCCAGCCCGATGTGCCTCTGTCCGGTGTCCAGCCCGATGTGCCTCTGTCCAGTGTCCAGCCCGATGTGCCTCTGCCCGGAGTCCAGCCTGATGTGCCTCTGCCTGGAGTCCAGCCCGATGTGCCTCTGCCCGGAGTCCAGCCCGATGTGCCTCTGCCCTGTGCCTCTGCCCAGAGTCCAGCCCGATGTGCCTCTGCCCGGAGTCCAGCCCGATGTGCCTCTGCCCGGAGTCCAGTCCAATGTGCCAGTCTTTGATATCCCGCCAGTTACCAGACCCGGGCGGTGGAACATTTTGCCCAGCTAGGACTGTTTGGAGCGCCCTGAGGCCGCTCCTTGAGGGGGGGGGGGGGTACTGTCAGGAATGGACTTGCCAGTAATGGTGTAACTCACCTGCCTTGTGGGCTGCAGTACCAGGGCTGGCCAGCGGGTGCTCTCAGCAATCAGAGACTCAACCCTGCAGTCAGCCAAACACCTGAAGCTGATTACGGAGGTGTATTTAAGGGATGGCCAGACCTGCAGTCTGTGCCTTGGTGTGTGTTTTTTCCATGAGCCCCTGTATCTTGTTACCTGCATTCCTGTTCCTGTTCCTGTTCCTGCCTGACTGACTTGTTGCCGACCCTGCTTGATCCTGACCTCTGCTGACTTCTCCTGTTTGATCCCTGGCTTGTGACCCCGACTATTCTCTGCCTGACCCCCTGTACCTACCTGCCCATTAGTTGCTGTACCCGGCTCGTGACCTGACTACTCTCTGCCTGCTCCTCCTGTTCCTACCTGCCTGATTGTTATTGACCCGGCCTGCTTGACTACGCTTGCATTATATGTATTCTTATCTGTGGGTGGTTTGGTTCGTTTGCACTTTGTTTATGTTTTAGTATTGCACTGCGTTTTGTATTGTTAGTATTAAATTATATTGTTTATAACATATCTGAAACCTGCGTTTCCCTGCGTCAGTTCACATACATCTGGTCATACCCGGAGCCCTGACAGCGCAGTTTTAGGTTTCAATATTTTTATTAGGTTTTTCAGAGATAAACAGGGAAAAAACAGGCCAAGTATATAAAGTTATTTCAACTTATACCAGCGCAAACCCACAAAACAATAAATTACATCACCCAACCCATAAATAATAATTACTAAATATCACAAACTTTAAAAAACTATGTGACACAAAAATATAAATTAAAATATTAATGAAATAAAAAATATATATAATTTAAAAAATAAGTCCAGTGACAAAATCCAAAAAAAAACAGTCCCGTGAAAAAATTTAATTTTCATTAGATTCTTCCGTGCCAGTGATACCTCTTGAGAGAACGCCCTGTGGGTGGGGCGAAACACGTTGACGTATTTCCGGCTGGCTGTCCCGAGCGGTGCGTTCCAAGGGGCCATCTTTGCATAGTGGATGAGTCTGCATCTGAGGTCTGTTATCCTGCTGTATACCTGGCTGTGGGGTCTCTATACAGAAATCGTTTTATATGAAAGAAAGATCGTTTTTATGAAAGAAAGATCGTTTTGCTTCAATAAAATGCGGGTTAATATCTGCTAAAATGTGAGTGGTCTGGAAAAATTATTTTAAGATTGGAAATCATTACGTTATCACACTATGGTTTTTTCTTCTTCCTGATTTTCTCTGGGGGATTCGGTGAGAGGAGTAACCAGAGGAGGTGTCCATATCCTAGAGGAGGCAATATTTGGAGGTCATATACAGATCAAAGGGGGTCCAGGAGCCCTTAATATCCCTGAAAGGCGTTTTACTCACCAATATCTGGTGAGTGCGGTTAATGTTGGTTTTGCACTGGTGGATTGTGGAGGTATCACTGGCACAGAAGAATCCAATGAAAATTTAATTTTATCACGGGACTGTTTAATTTTAATTTTTTCACGGGACTGTTTTTCTGGATTTTGTCACTGGACTTATTTTTTAAATTATATATATTTTTTATTTCATTCATATTTTAATTTATATTTTTGTGTCACAGAGTTTTTTAAAGTTTGTGATATTTAGTAATTATTATTTATGGGTTGGGTGATGTAATTTATTGTTTTGTGGGTTTGCGCTGGTATAAGTTTTGAAATAAGTTTTTTGGTTTTGCACCTGTGTACAGCAGCATCTCACGGGGAATAGTGTGTGGAATAAGAGAATCCTGGGCGCTGAGGTTTTTTTCTTTCAAGTATATAAAGTGCAGCGCTAATAGTGAGTAAAATCGTTATAATTGCCAAAATAAATAAATAAATAGTTCCTAAATGATAATTATGTGGATCCACTTCTATAGCATAATCCCATGTCCCCTTAAGGACCTAGTATTACACTATCCAAGGCAGGACGATCCATACATGGAAGCTCACCCATTCCGCCTACCATAAAGATTCTGTTGGATTTTGATCATATGCGTATTATCCAGTGAGTGTGCAATTCTATCATTGGTTCCTGCGCTAACACCTGTCCTGGGATTATGCTATAGAAGTGGATCCACATAATTATCATTTATGAACTATTTATTTTGGCAATTATTATAACGATTTTACTCACTTTAGTGCTGCACTTTATGTACTTGGTCAATTTATAAGGTTTACTGTGATTACCTTTAGTGCTTTAGCCGCTGATACTTGAGCGCTCACTTTATATATTTATTATAGGGAAAAAACAGGGACAAGAGATATGATTCATTAATACATTCAATATTGCAATAGACAAAATATGGTTGATTATATTTGTTGTAGCTCCGCCCATTGGACGGATGAAGTGTTGGTCTTGTTTAGCAATATCATCAGAAATATTCGTGTGCAATTGATGAACCTTGGTGAGGAGTTTGGGGTGTTAAGGGGTTTTTGGTGGAGAGGTGGGGGAGGATAGGATTGAGGGGAGGAGGGATTTAACTGGGTATTTGAGGAGATACCAGTCTTGGGATGGGGTGTGATTTCATCTTGTGGCGGAGGGTAGGCAGGACAGAACACGCAAAGCAGATGGCAAACACACAAAGCTTTATTAAAACAAATGACAGTCACTCAATTGGGGTCTTCAGGGAGTGTGGCAGTGCTCAAAATAATGATAGTCTGGTCGCAGGGGCAAAGTTAGAGTCTCTACAGCAGTTTGTAATCCAAACAGGGAAATGGGGAGGGAGTACAGGAACAGTTCAGGGGTATTGAGGTTTGGTGAATAAGAGGTAGGCTGTAATTGGTATCATAGTGTTGTGGGGTAGGCTAGTTTTTTGTAGACAATGAGCGATTCTTAGGTATGCAAAATTTTCAGTAGTAGGGATATTTTATTTGGATTGGAGAGTTTGGAAGGGTCATAAAGATTAATTGGTATAGAAGTCAGTTAAGTTGGTTATTCCTTGTTTAGTCCATTGGGATAGGTCTAATGAGGGAATAAGAAGGTGTAGTATATTGGTTGGAGTAGGTATATGTTTAACATCTTTGAATTTAGTGGATAGGAGGTCTTGCCAAGCTTGTAGGGAGGCTAGAATACAGGGATGTTTTAGTTGGGGTTCTATTCGTTTGGATGATGGGGTCAAAAGTATATTTTGGGGTTTAAGTGGTTGAAAAAGTTGGGTTTCCATTATGGACCAAATTGTTTTCTTTGATGGGTTCCCCCAGAAATATAGTTGGTCTAAAGGAGTAGCTGTGTAGCAAAACTTGAGGTGTGGGAGTTGTGCACCTCCTTTAGTTGTAGGTTGTATTAGAAGATTGGTGGTACATCTTGGTTCTTTCGAGTTCCATAGGAACTTTGTGAGGATTATTTGTAGGTTAGAGAAGAATGAATTAGGGATTGGTATGGGTAGTGAGAGGAATATGTACAAGATTTTGGGTAAAATATACAATTTTTTACTCGGCCTAGTTTGGAGAGTTCTGCGGTGCGTAAAGAGTTTAGTTCTCGGGGGATAGCTTCCAGCAAGGTTTTGTGATTTGCTGTGTATAGTTGATCTGTCGCCAGTGTGAGTCTGATTCCTAAGTAAGGGATGCTGTTTGTTTCCCATAAAAATGGCAATTGTTTGGATAGTTGGGTTTGAAGATGTGTAGAGATATGAAGGTTAAGTATGGAAGATTTGGGTTCATTAAGTTTGTAGTATGAAACTGTCGAATATGTATGTAGATGTGAGTGAATCGTTTGGAGGGATTTATTTTGGTTGGTCACCATTAATATTATATCGTCTGCAAATATGCTGATTTTGTGTTCCATGTTAAGATGTGTGATTCCTGTAAATGTTTGGTCCGCTCTGAGTTTGGATGCTAGCGGTTCAATAAGGAGTGTAAATATTATCGGGGA